AATAGAAAAAACAAACAAATGTATATATATAATAAATTACATTTTTTAAGATCCATATTTTTAAGATCCATATATATATAAATATAATTAAGATAATATTTTTGGCTTTTCTAAATCTCAAATCACCATTATATTTGTGATTTTCTAAATGGATAATAGTTTTGGGTTTTTCTAACTCAAATCACCATTATCATATAAATTTGTGCAAGTAATTGATAGCAAATTAAGAAAATCATCATATTTCCGAATTAACTAATTAGGAAATAAAGAACATACACATTTAATGCAATATCACATGTATATAATTACTAATAAATGACATCATAAAAGAACAAGATATTTACTTAATAGACATATATTTTCACAAAAATTTAACTTTTAAATTTGTCAATTAAATGTATATTTAAAAAAATACTTCCTAAAAAGATTGTTTCGTTTAGAAGTATATAATAAAAAATTCAGAATATATCAAATTTAAAGAATAATTATGAATTAATAATCATATTTTATCATTAAGTCTTATGGTTCCTCAAATATCCCCCTATACATTAAAAGAGAAGTCACTTTGACACGTGGCACTCACACAGCCCTTCTCAGAAGAATTCTAGCGATTCTATTGGTTGATTTTTTAGAATTTATTTTTTGATTTATTTTTACCATCGACACTACTAAAAAGGAAATTCATTTAAATACTTACCTTTTGTGTTTTCTCGATTCAAAGAACATCCTTTTGCGATCCTTTCTCTGTTTAATTCATTAAATACGCATTAAATATTTTAGCTCGTCACACTTAAGAAAAACATGTAGCATTATGTCTTCTGAAATATATATACGAATAAATTATATTTGTATTTATAAAATATAATTTTGTCTTTCAACATGCGATAATATATTTTCATAAACCTAAATTGTATGTGATTTCTTATCCTGGTAAGAAAAACACACACATACATTTTATACTAAAATATGTTAAAAACATATTGTTAGTAATAACTGTTAAAAACATATGTTAAATCACTAAAATGACTTCTTAGTAATAATTACTTATCATTTATATAAATAGATTGTTAGAAAAATACACACATACATTTTATACTAAAATATGTTAAAAAATTCACTAACATATAATTATTTATTAAAATGATTAATAGATTATAATTATTTTTTAATAAATTATATTTGTTTATTAAATATTTACCCACCAAAAAAGCCGCATTCAATTAAAAATTATTTAAATTAATCGTGGCTAAAATCTTACCTTATTACAATATTTGATTATACATTGCACATGTAAACGTATCTAATTTATTTGATTATTAAATTTATCAAATTTGTTAATCCCTTTTAATGACGTACCTTGCACAAGTTTTAACTTTCTTTCATCTATTTTAATTAATTTTTAAATCTATCAAATATAATAATTCATATTAAATGTCTTACTTTATTTAAAAACTACATTACCTGCACAATAATGAAATTAAGCCAAGAATATTATTTGGTCGATCACTAATAATTTACTAACATTACAATAATTAATACATGTATTAATTATTTTTCCTTATTAGATATTACTTGCGCACGAATATAAATTAGTAAAATATGTATTAATAAATTTCCTTATTACAAATACGGAAAACAATTCACTCTTGATATCATATTGATTACATTGTTTAGTGCGATTTATTGATTTGTATCTAATTAGGATGTTTGTTATTATTAACTTACCTTATTAATATTGAATATACATTCTAATATATAGTTTCTATATACAGTTTCTCATATAATTAATCGTATAGAATATATAATATTCTCAATAATTTATTAGAGAATATTATATTTATTAGCTTATCATGCAAGCTAAATCATTAAGAAACGTCCACCAATTTACTATATATAAGACATTCATAGTAGGAGAAACGAAGCCACTAAACTTTTTATTCTGAACTTTTTATGTTGATACTGTTTTGTTATTTTATATCATTAAGCTTTTATATATACATATTTCATCAGAGCTGACTTTTCTTTTGGTTTATATGCAGATGCCCTATTATAAAGATTTCACCACGATGCAAGTAAATTTTTTTATCTTTCTATATGATTTGATTAATCGTAGATCTATTTGAATTCTAATTTTTACTTTTTTAAATATGTTCATAGGTATTGTCTTTCTATTTAATGATTGTTTGTTAGAGCTTAGAAGGAGAAGAATGCTTTCATATGTATTTTTCTATTGGTTTTTTAATTTACAATTTTAGTTTATATGCGCAGACCAACGATTATGACGTTTCCTCTTGTGGATCCATATGTACTTAAATCTTTCTTCACATTCATGTTATTCAGAGACATGAAAATTACAAATGATCATATCATCTAAAACACGTAAACTACAATGTAAGTTTCATGCTTTGTTACTTTCTCTATGATATTTCAAATAATTATTTGCTTATACACTAAAGAAAAAAAATCTTTAATCAATATTTTATTATAAAAGTTAGTATAACTTTTTATACATTTTATCAACTTTGTACTCAAATATGATTTTATACAATTTATCATATTATAAAATTTATATCCTATAAATTCATATATGTAAACTATATAGTTTTTTTAGTCATCTTTTTTTTGTCATCATAAACTATATAGTTCTATGTCAATTATAATATAACTTTATACAATTTATCACATAATAAATTATGAATATAATTCAGAGTTAGAATATGATATGTGTAACATTTTTGTATATATTTCTAATACTAATGTTAGAATTAAATCGGTTATATACAAATTTCTATATTAAACATAAGTGATAAAACATAATTATTATATATTTCTATAGATTTACAATATATCAAAATCAAAACTATTTATTATTCTTTAATTTTATAACCATATTATAGTATTAGGAAATATATACCTTGTTGGTAGGCTTTTAATTTAATTCGTTTATTAATAACTTGGTTTATTTTATTATCAGTTACTTGCACAAGTTGATACGATGATTACCTTATTGTGCCATCAGTTACTTGTCTTAAATGGTATGTTAATTATTGCAAATTTATGACAGTCAATTTTTTAATATCTTTCTTTGATTGCTTCATGTTTATTAAAAGGATACAAATATTACAAGAACCATAAGACTTTATATATCTCAAGAAATGTCTTTACAAGAATTTTTATAACAAATATTTCAGGAACCATAAGACTTAATGATAAAATATGATTATTAATTCGTAATTATTCTTTAAATTTGATATATTCTGATTTTTTTNTTTTTAATATCTTTCTTTGATTGCTTCATGTTTATTAAAAGGATACAAATATTACAAGAACCATAAGACTTTATATATCTCAAGAAATGTCTTTACAAGAATTTTTATAACAAATATTTCAGGAACCATAAGACTTAATGATAAAATATGATTATTAATTCGTAATTATTCTTTAAATTTGATATATTCTGATTTTTTTTCATTATATATAATTCTAAAAGAAATAATCTTTTTAGGAAGTATTTTTTTTTAAATATACGTTTAATTGAAAATTTTAAAAATTAAATTTTCGTGAAATATATGTCTATTAAGTAAATTTCTTGTTCTTTTATGATGTCATTTATTGGTAACTATATACATGTGATATTGCATTAAATGTGTATGTTCTTTATTTCTTAATTAGTTAATTCGAAAATATGATGATTACCTTATTTTGCTATCAATTACTTGCACAAATTTATATGATAATGGTGATTTGAGTTAGAAAAGCCCAAAAATACTATTCATTTAGAAAACCACAAATATAATGGTGATTTGAGATTTAGAAAAGCCAAAACTATTATCTTTATTATATATATATATATATATATAAATATATGGATCTTAAAAATGTAATTTACTATATATATACATGTGTTTGTTCTTTCTATTAACAGATAAATAACACAGATGAAATACCGTTTGTAGTTGACTACAAACCATTTTTCAGTATGTTTTAATAGCAATATGCAAATTTAATATTATTTTCGATTCGATAAAATTTAGAAATCTATTAAATTATTTTATATTGTACAATTGCTAAAAAAATTGACAATTTTTTGCAGGTTTCTATGTGATTATTTTAATTCATAATTGTTCTTCTTATTTTATATTACTTATGAATTATATTTAAATTTTTATCACATTTTCTATGGGATTGTGATATCTATGTGATTTTTATCACATTTTTTAATGTCACTGTCTCCTGTATATTTTCTTACATTTTGTTTTTTTAATAGTTAACTTTTATTAAAAACATACTAATGATGTTAATTTTTTTTAATTTAGTTAACTTTCATTTGTTTTATTCTTATATACTTTTTGTGACTTTTTAATTTTTTTGTTTCAGTTTAATATTGAATTTAGTTCACATACTTTATGTGTATATGTTTTAAAACATAATTTTTCTTTTAAAAAATTAAGCGACAAAGAGCCTAATTAAACTGATCCAAAAACAAACCGAACTGAATATAAATTGAACTGGACATAAACAACACCGAACCAGACTAAATAAGGTTTATTTCAGTTGAAAAAATATATTAAACCGAATTAAACAAACCAAACCGAAAAAGTAACGATTTGCCCACCCCTACTACATCTTAGAGATTTGCGCAAATCTTGTCTCAGCATTGAAACTCTCACTTGTTCCACTAACTTCCACATTTGAACTCAATAGATACTCTTATCTCAGCATTATACTATATTCTATACCCGCACAGGGTGCGGGCCGGTCACCTAGTTAAGTAATTAACCGATAATCTTAGATGATCTCACCTTGTTATCAATTTTTTTATACAAATTTATAAATTTTGTTTATATGTATTTAATTAATTTAAGTTAAAGAAAATTACTATTTTAAATACAAAATTATATTTTCAATATTTATTTGATTTTCATTTCACGTCAAATAGTTATAATTTTTTTTTAATTTCGTTTGGTTTGAGTTGGTATTCAATTTGCCAAGTCTAGTTTGATTAACAAAATTGATCCAGTAAAACAGATCTCAAAAAAAGGAAAAAAAGAAAAAGAAAAAGGAGACTTCGAACCCGTGACATGAGGGTTGGGCCGGCGCAACCTTTATAGATCATCAGGCCCTAAAATTCTCTAAACACGAAGCTCCGATCTAATCCACCAATCACAACTCTCTCTCTCTCCTTCCCAATCTCAAGATCCAAATCTCTCTCAACCAAACCAAACCTCACGCGCCACCGCCATGTCGACTCCACCGACCCTCCCCGTCACCAACCAACAACAACCCCAGCCACCAATCAACACCCCCGCCTTCCGCACCTTCTTCTCCCGCCTCTCCACCTCCATCCGCGACGGCTTATCCCAACGCCGCCCCTGGGCCGAACTCGTCGACCGAAGCTCCATGGCCCGACCCGAATCCCTAACCGACGCTCTCTCCCGGATCCGCAAGAATCTCGCCTACTTCAAGGTGAACTACGTGGCCATCGTCTCCCTCGTCCTCGCCTTCTCCCTCTTCTCCCATCCTCTCTCCCTCCTCGTCCTCCTCGGCCTCCTCGCCGCGTGGATGTTCCTCTACCTCTTCCGTCCCTCGGATCAGGCCTTGATCGTATTCGGGAGGACCT